ATTTCAGGATTATCCAAAGATTTGAAGTCCCAGAAAAAAAGGGACCAAAGTCCAGAGGGTTAGGAAGCTGAGCAGCATCCTTTGAGGATGGGACCCGAAGGTGCTATTGCTCTGAGACACAGGATCACAGATAGTGACGAGGGATGAGCAGGGATAGAGTCCTGTCTCCAGGGTGAGGTTTAACAATAGTGGGAGCTGAAACTCTTCACTTACTCTCTGACTGGATCCATTTGAGTTGACTGGTGCCACTCCCAGTCCACAGCTGGAGTTCACCGGTCTCCCTGTTGGCCCATCCGCCAGTTCCTGCCATGTCTTATTATGAATGTGTCTTTTTTTCTCTCAAGGTGAAAACTTTGAGTGTAACATGGGCTATTTTTCCCTCTTATACCCATTCCATAGCAGGTGCTTAATAGATACCAAATGACGGAATCCTACAATCTGAACCAGGAAGAGGACAGGGAGACGTGAAGGAGAAGAACATTACATTTCTGGGATCCTGGCTGATCACTGGGTGGACTTAGAAGTCCATTTGGAAGACAGTGCCTCTTGGGAAACTTGAGAAGACTTCTTCTGAAGTCAGTTCCCAGCAGCACCTTATAAGTGATAGAATTCATTGTAGGACGGCACCTAGCGATTTCTGCAGGCGATTTATTGTGAGCAGTGGTCTGGAGCCGGTGTAAAGGAGGCAGGGTGCTTAGTTCACCCAGGGGAGAACCCCAGAAAGAACCCTCGTCCCTGAGGTGGGAGCCATACAGGTTAAACTCAAGGAAGTGCTTTTGAGACATGGGAGGTCTCTGGAGCACGGGTTTACGTGACGCAGGTCTTGGGTGGGGAAAAGTAACAACTAGTATTTGTGATCAAAGTCACACTGCCTCCTACAATGCTTACTGCCTGCTGGGAAGCACTTTGGAGGAGCAATCAGAGTTATTTTTGATACCTGTGGAGGTGGAAAAGAAGGAGAAAAAAGGAATAAGGAGGAAGGGAAGGAAGGAAGAGGGGTGTAACCTCTGAGGCCCCCCAAATCAGGTGCTCTCTCTCTGGGGTCCTGTTGGAACGGGATGACACAGGCTTTAGAGCACTCTCCCACCGTCTGTTTTGCTCAAGGGGGGTTTTTCTCCCTTCATCCAAACTACACACCAAAGCTTTTCCAGAAGGAGGTGAGCCCCGTTGTCCTGCCCTGCTGGATTTGGGGGTCCAACCACAGCTCCTTGTCCAGCCTGGTCCTGTTTCCCACCCTGGTTAGGCTCTTATCCCCTCCACCCCTGACCCTGCTTACCTTTGTCTCCTATCTAATTTGAAGGCCTTGGAGGCCTCCCACAACAAGAACGTCCCTGATAACTGCTCGCCCTTTCTCCCTTGGCCAATGGTTTCCTAGATGCAGAGATGTGCCAGGCATCAGGACTCCCTGCCAGGCAGGGAGCTCATCAGAATCTCCTTGCTGAGCTGTGCACATCAGCTGTGATTCAGAGGTGGAGAGAGAGCGTGCTCACTTAAAGCACAACTAGCACGAGATTCTCCTGAAACATGAAAGAAAGTTTCTCACTCTGTGAAGGGCTTCTCCACGGGGTCCCTTGAGAGTCACAGCAGCAACTCCCACTTTGCATATAAGAGACAGTGGATGTTGTAAATGGTTTACTCTCTACTCTCAGCCTGCTGTGTAGGGTGAGGTCCACCCACCTGTGTCTCTGTGAAGGTCACGGAAAGATGTTCACAAATGCCTTAGGTGAGAACGGTGCATAGACAGGTGAAGATCTGATCTACAAAACAAAAATGACCTGGGCTTTATTTTCCTTTTTCTTTTTCTTTTTTTTAAATTCTGAAACACAAAGTCTATTCTAATGGCATGTAGACTGTTTCCTTCAACAAGAATTAATGAGCATATTCTTTGAGTCAGGGACAACCTCAGAATGTAGGAATGCAGAAGTGATAAAGACAAGGTCTCTGTCATGGAGAGCAGTTTAATATAGGAGATAAGATATGTATCTAGGTCACCATGACCAAGAGCAACTACAGAGGCTGGGAGGGAGGTATAGGTATATGGGGAACCAGTCAAGTCCCATGGGGGCCTTGAGTGCTGAGTCATGGTCAATGGGACAAATAAAATGGCCTTCTTTAGGCTCTGGGTGGTATTGAACTTGATCTTCCTTCTCGGATCCCAAACTGAACTCAGCAGGATTTGGACCCTACCCAACACCCCATCACCACCAGGGATGTCGTAAGACTTCCACCCCGGCCAATCCGAGCGCTCCCGCCATCTGGCCGCTCACTCACATGAAAATCCCTTTGAGCCACATCCCAGCTGTGTGTAGCTGAGGAATCCAGCCTGGGAATTGTGAAACATCCGGATACATCATCCTGCATTGCATGGCTGCCCTCCAATAACAGGGAGCCTGGAGGTTCAACGGGAGGATATATAGAATAGCCTCTTCTCTGCCCACCCACAGGGCTTCTGGGATGGCTTGTCCACTTGTCCTCCTCTAGGGCAAGGTGATTTCTGGGTGGAGAGACGCCTGGCTGCCCGTCACTCAGGGGCTGCTAAGGCATCTTGACCTCTCCTATTCTCTTCCCAGGTTGTTGATGAGCAGGTACAAGTTTGGGGAAGGAGAAGGGAAGTGTAAGTCCCTACAAAAGACTCTAAATGATCTAACCTGGGAGAAAACCAGAGAGGCCAGTGGACTAGAGAACCAGGGGACATGTACGCTCAGGGTCTCAGGGCAGGTCGAGCCTAGGTGAAGAAAGAGCGGACACTCTCCTGTACACCTGACCATGGTGCAGTGGTGGGCATGGGCCTGGGAAAGTAGAGGGTCAGCTCGACTAGGTGGCTGACTTTTTTTTTTTTTTCTTTTTTAAAAGAAAGAATAAGTTATCGGCTTGGTTGTGGGTGAGGGAGTCCCCTAGGAATTTCCATTAGGATTCACTCCTCAGATGTTTAAGTTCACCCCACCCCGGCCCTCCTGGGGTGGACTTCCAGGGGTTGTTAGTGCTGCTCCGTTGCGGGCAAGCTGACTGGTTCCCTGCCCTAACCCTGACTCTTTCTCTTCCAGATTCCACACGTAGCTGGGCAATGCCACAGGAGAAGCAGCAGTCTTCGCAGCCTCCCAGTGCTCCTCAGGGTTCCCCTGCCCCATGCCCAAGCCCCTGCCTAGACCTCTCCTCTGCTCCTTGTGGGATTCCCTGTTCAGGAGTTTGTCCTTCCCAGTCCCAAAGGCCTGGATCTCAGAGCTCAGCCCGCGTCAGGAGGGCTCGCCGCCAGCCTCGCTGCCTCAGCGGTGGCAGGACCTACCCCTGCAAAGAGGAGGAGTGCTGAGGAGATCCAGCGAAGGAGCAGGTACCGCTGCTCCTCCTCAGCCTGGGGTTCTGACTCCACTCAGAAACCCAGCCTCCAGCTCTTACTTGGGTGCGGAACTCCCGGCCCCAGCCCTGGAGAGGGGTCTCTTCTGCTGCTCTCCCACCCGTCCTTTAGCTCCGCAGCAGTAATGCTGTCTTCCTGGAGCACGGCTGGGACTTCTGTGGTCCTTGCTCAGAGGCACTGAGTCCCCTCAGTGGATGTGCTGCTTCTCCTTCCCCCCAAGAGACGGCTTTCAGAGATTCGGGCCCTTGTTCTCAGAGCCTCTCAGTGTCAACCTATGTCACTGCAGGGTTCTAGCACTGCAGCCCGCGATGCAGGAAGCACACCGAGCCCCACACCAAGCCCCTCCTGTGCAGGAGCCACTGTGCTTACAGACTTCCTCCGGCTCCTGAGAAGCTTGCCATCCAGTAGAAGCAGCAATGGACACTCCAGACTGAAACAAGAGGATTAATAAATAAAATTTTAAACTTGTTAACTTGTTTTTGTCATTTCTCATTGTGCATCTAAAAGAACGTAAAACAGAAAAAAATATAAAAGGTCAAGGGCAGCAGCGAGAGATTCTCTGATAGGGTGGGAAGTAGACTTTAAGGGGATGTGGTGTGAGGAGGAAGCACCTTCCAGGTGGAAGATCAGCCAAACCGACACATGGCAATAGATTGAATCTCAGATTGGCTGGAGTGAGATGATGACAATTCCTCATGTAATTCAAACCAGCTTTTTCTGAATTTCAAGAATAAAAATCCATCTACCAAAGGATTGTACCTCTGGGGAAAGTCTGGACTCAGGCCCAGGATCTAGAGGCCTTGGTTAATGGAAACCTGACATATATTATAGGGGGTCTGCAGTTTAACTCTGTTGCATATCAATAGAAGTTTCAGGTAAGAATTTTCACTGATAGGAGCTGGGGTTGTGGCTCAGCAGTAGAGTGCTCACCTAGCATGTGCAAGGCCCTGGTTTCGATCCTCAGCACCACATAAAAATAAATAAAATAAAGGTGTTGTGTCCAACTACAACTAAAAAATAAATAAATATTTTAAAAAGATTTTTCACTGACAGACATTTTCTGGCAGTTCTTCAACTCAATAGATTTTATTGACCAGTCTCAGAAAACAATTTCAGTCTATCATTTCTAATAGAAAGCATGCCCATCTCTAGAGCTTAGCAAGTCTAATAATGCCGGACCTGATTTTACCTTTGTTACGTCGTATATCTATATATAGATATGTGTCATAATTATTGTAATTATAATTTTATATGTGTAATTTTTCTCATTAAACAAATGACCCATACTTGTATGAAGATTTGTTAGTGCAGGGGACTGAGGGTGTAGCTCAGTGGTAGGGTATCTGCCTATCGTGTGCGGGGCCCTGGCGGTTCAATCCACAACACCACAAAAAAGAAAAAGAAAAGGATTTGTTAATGCAGATAAGCATAAGTAAAATGATCAAGACCAATCTAAAATCTTGTCATCTAAAAATAATCATGATTAATAATTTCTTAGCTATATTTGAAAACTCGCAGAAAGTAAATATTCTCACTGGTGATTCTTAATTTTCTTAGAATAAATTTTTAGAATCGGAATTCTAGAATTGTCAAAAAACATGAAATTTTTTTGAAATTCTCCAGGAAAATTGCATTTGGAGAGCAATTAAGACTGCTCCATTCCCTCCATTTGGGGAAGGAATGTCTTTTGTTCGAAAGCAAGAGTCAGTACTATGTTAAAGGACTATCCCGGCTTACAGAGGAAACAATCCACTCTGTGAGAAGAAACACTCCCGGGAGACTTGACCAGTATACACTCATTTTATATACTGTATAAGCAATGTCTTATAAGTACAATATCCTGTTGTTTGAACTGCTCTACTTAGCTGACAGGTTTTTAAATAATGATTTCAGATGGTCAATAAGTTTAGTGAAAGGTTTCTGGAAAGAATCCCCAAAATATCAACATTTGCTTGATTAAGTTCACTGTATAAGAATATCTTCTTTTTCTACATTTTATTTCTGTTCTTCATTGAAGGCACATACTAAACAATAGTTTCTGAAAAGTTTGACAGAAACTATTTTCCTTTAACAAAAATACTACTTAATATTTGGCCTATTCAAATTTCTTTAGTCCTAGGATTCCCGATAGATAGATAGATAGATAGATAGATAGAAAGATGACTAATCGACAGATTGATTTTAAGTGTTCTCACCACAAAATAATGTTAGGTATTGAGTTAATGCATGGTAATTAGTTTGCTTTAGCTATTTCACAATGAACACATGTTTCAAAATCACATGTACCTGATAAATGTATACAATGTTTAATTGCAATACAATGTTTAATTGCAAATTTAATAAATAATATGCATACTTTTATGTCCTATATACAACATTTTAACAGTTTGTAGAAACAACAAAACTAGGTAAGTGGCCTCATTGCTTAATTTTCATAATAAAATATCTAACTTTTTAATATTTCCTAATTCAAAAAATATCATTTTGATAGAGAAACTTCATACATTTGATATTTAATTTGCTTTTTAGAAAATGTTAAACGTTGTATCGTTTGGACTAAATAAAGAATATGAAAGTTTAAGAAATAGTTGCTAGGGGTTTTGAGAGCTCTCCAAGGACTTTGAAAGGCCCTTGGGTGAAGTTGCCTAGTGTTGTTGGTGCTCTGTCCCCCCTTAAGTCTCAAACCCAACCTTCCAGCAAGCAAGGTCTTGCACAGGAACTGAACCTGAGTCCCGGGATCTCTACTCCAGATCGCCCATTGCTCAGCTCACCCGTCTCCAGTCAGGACTGTGTGACCCTCTGTCACCTGGCCCAGGGTCAACTCTACTGAGGCTGGCCTCGCTCGCCCCTTCCCTGAGCACACCTTGCAAAGCACCATTCACTTTGCAATGTCTGGCAGAGAATATTGTGCTGTTGATACTATGTACTTCATGACATAACACAAATCATCAGTCATTTGTTTTTGTTTATTCCGGTAAAGATGTCACAAATAAAATAAAAATCATCCAAATGTGAAAGAAACTATTTAGTTCCAATTACTTCTCTTAGGTTCTGGAAAGTCAAGAAATATTACCTTTTCTTGATGGGTAAAGACAGAGCTTTACTTATAGTTTTATTTAATGTTACAGGGTAACCAATTATAGTATTAAAAATAAGGTCATGTTTAAATATATTAGTAGAAGTGAAGAAGGGAAAGTGAGCATGCGGCTCAGCCCTGGTTCTACTTTGAGGAAGTATTAGACATGGCCAGCAGGCAGGGAGGAAAGAAATATATTTGCAGATTATTTAGAATGAGAGTTAAGATTTTCAAATTTCAACCTGTTGGAATACCTGTGTTTTTTTTTTTAATTTTTAATTTTTGTTCTTTTTGGTTTTACATGACAGTAGGTATAATTTGACTTATTTATATGAACTTGGAGTATATCTAATTCTAATTAGGATCCCAGTCTTTTTGTTGTACGTGATGTAGACATTCACTGTGGTATATTCGTATATGTACGTAGGAAAGTTATGGCAGACTTATCCCATTTCATGTCAATGTACTAATTTTCTATAACAAACTAAATAAACAAAATCACATCTTGTTTTAATTTGTATCTGCAAGGGCCTTGGGCCAAACCTACCTTAGCAGAGTAAGTACTCAGTCAGAACTCTGTGACCTCACAAAAAGTTCCTGGGCCCTGTATGCCTTTAGATAGTTTCCTCGTCGAAAAATTAGGTAAATTAGCTTTTACCTAAAATTAAATAAATTACCTAAAAATTGGGTTGATTAATCAATAATTTCTCCTTGGAAGAATGTGCAGGCAATTATGTGATCTCATAGGTGCTGTAGTCAGTACATTTTAAACTCAATGAATGTTAGTTGTAACATACATTTGGGGTCTACTCTATTTTTTTTTTAAAATATCCTTTTATTTTAGAATAGCCTTCTAGAAAAGTTGCAAATATAGTTAAGAATTCCTGTATACTTTCACCCACTTTCCCCTTTCAAGATCTTACATTGGGTAGGCGCAGTATGCACGCCTATAATCCCAGCAGCTCAGGAGGCTGAGACAGGAGGATTGCAAGTTCAAAGGCAGCCTCAGCAATGGCAAGGTGCTTAGCAACTCAATGAGACCCTGTCTCTAAATAAAATACAAAATAAGGCTGGGGATGTGGCTCAGTGGTTGAATGTGCCTGAGTTCTATCCCCGGTACCAAAAAAAAAAAAAAGATCTTACATTATCAGTATGTTTGTTACCATTAATGTTTTGTGTTCCTGGACCCCATTCAGAATACTATCTTACATCCAAAGATCTGTCTCCTCAGGCTCCTCTTGACTGACAGTTTCCCACACTTTCTTTATTTTGGAAGACCGTGACAGCTTTGAGGCCTATTGGTTGGACATTTTCTAGAATCTCCCTTAACAAGGGATCTCCTGATTTTCTCACAATGATGATGGGATTATTAACTTTGGTAGGAAAGACTGTAACAAAGCCACTTTGAAATTAAAAGCACTAAAATGGTTTTGCTCCCCAACTTTTTGGCAACTGCTTTTCTGCATTCTGAGGACGGAAACTGAGAAGCTACCCCTGGCCCTGGTGGAACCAAGGAAACTAAGGCCGTGAAGGTTCTAACCAGGACAGCCTAGGTAAGTCCACATATGTACGTTCCCTGCCTTGTCTCCCATGAACCCCTCTCCTCTGTGAAAGGTGTTCACACCCGACCTCCCCAGAGATGGGAATCTGAGACAGGAATGGTCTCCTCTGTCTTCCTCAAAGCCAGCTTTGAGTAAGCCTATTTTCCTTCACCTACCTCCGTCTCCTGGGTTTTAGTGGAGCAACAAGCGCTAGAACCTTCTTTCCAGGTAACAAGACCAAAGAGGGCAGATGCCATTGTCATCTCACCATATCAAGGTTGTATGCTCATAACGCGACACCACCGTGGATGTTGACTTGATCCGCCAGCTGAGACAGCGCTTCTTCACTCTAAAGTCAC